CCTCCTCCTCCTCCCTCCTCCTCCTCCCTCCTCCTCCTCCTCCTCCTCCTCCTCCTCCTCCTCCTCCTCTCCTCCTCCTCCTCCTCCTCCTCCTCCTCCTCCCTCCTCCTCCTCCTCCTCCTCCTCCTCCTCCTCCTCCTCCTCCTCCTCCTCCTCCTCCTCCTCCTCCTCCTCCTCCTCCTCCTCCTCCTCTTCCTCCTCTTAGTATTATGAGTGTTAATAATATTGTTTGCTCTCTGATTGGCATTACTAGTGCTACTACTGTTACCATTTCTCATATTGCAATTAAAAGTTAACTTATAGCATGCATAATATTGGGATTAGTACCACTACGGCTAGTTAAAACAAACTTAAGAAAATTACAATTTGAATCGTGATAATAAAGGTAGTAATAGCAATAACACGAACTATCGCATTAGTAGTGTTATTATTGTTGTTGTAAGTCATTGTATTAGCATGCCTATTATTATGCTTAGCCATGCTATTCATGTTTGTATTAGCCTTATTATTATTACTCATGTTCGTGGCCGTTTTCGTGCTATTATTATAAGTATGCTTCTTACAATTCGTAGTAGTCAGAATCTGCTTAGTCGTATTACTATTGAGTATTCGTATGATTAGTTGTCTTATGAGTTTGTCGTATGCGTGTAATTTTATGAGTGTTATTAAGATTAGCCTTAATAGTCTTAATAGTGGGAGTGGTACTATTATTCCTATTATTGTTGCTCGTAGCACATTATCCTTAAGATCCTTAGTAGGATGATTAGTGCTATCACGCTTCTGCTTATACTGATGACTACTACTGTTCTCACTAATAGCATTATTATTAAAATGTGTTAGTATTCCTCCTCCTCCTCCACCTCCTCCTCCTCCTACTCCTCCTTCTGGTCGCAGGTGTGGCGCCACCCATACTTTTTCAAGGGTACACAACGACGGGCTCAACACGCCAGCGCCCCGCGGAGGGCAGCCATGCCTGGAGCGCGCCCCTAAGAATCATCGGAAACTGCAGAGCGGTGGCTCGGTGAGCACCGACGACTGCTGAGCGCCTCCACGTTGTGACATCGCCCCACAGAGCCGATTTCCAGTGAAACCGCCCGGCTGTAGTCTGGGGCCCTAGCCGAATTGCACCGGTGCCATCTCGGGGGCTTCAGAAGGCTGCGCGCGCCAGCCGTGTATTACGCACGCGCCCGGCGCGCAAGAGGAGGAAGAACAGAAGGGACAAGGAGAGGGAGGGAGAGGAGGGGAGGAGGGAGAGAAAGGAGGGAGGAGAAGGAAAGGAAGGGAGGGGGAGGAGGGAGAGGAGGGAGGAGAAGGAGGGAGGAGGATTGAGAGGAGGGAGGGAGGAGGGAGGGGAAGGAAAGGAGGGACAAGGAGAGGGAGGACGAAGAGGGAAGGAGTCGCAGAACCAGGGCACCGCGACCGCAACGGCACTCTCTTCGCCCACCAGCTGGGCCTGGCCTCGCGCCAGCTGTCCGGGGCGGCGCACGGCGCCCCTGCCGCGGCGTCCTCCTGCATCGAGCGCAGAGCGGGAGGTCCGACCATGGGAAGCGGTCTCCAAGGAACCACTGCCTCTCGGCGGCAATCGCGCTTCCTCCTTCTCTCCCTCCTCCTCCCCCTCCTCCTCCCCTATCCTTCCTCCTCCTTCCTCTCTCCCTCTCGCCTCCTCCTCCACCGCCTCCTCCTCCTCCTCCTCCTCCTCCTCCTCCTTCCTCCTCATCATCCGCCTCCTCCTCCTCCTCCTCCTCCTCCTCTTCCTGCTCCACCTCCTCCTCTCTCCTCCTCCTCCCCCTTCTCCTCCTCTCCCTCCTCCTCTGACAGACGGCATGCGGATGGCCCGCCACTGCGGCCAGGCCAGCCGCATACCTCTGGGCGAGACGGGGAGGGGTCAGAGCCCAGCTCGCGGCTCCGCCGCGGCGATGCTGCTGGGCGCCCGTGCGCGCCCCACCCCCCGCGGGAGCTGGGCCTCGCTCGTCGCTCGCTGGCGCACCGGCGCCGCAGAGCCAAATTTTCAGGAGGCGCAGCCTTCATGCGAGCGCTTTTGCACCGTGGGACGAGGTTCGCGGGCGAGCTCAGCCCGGGCGTAAACTGCGTCGTCACCCTCTCCTCGCCCGTCGCCAGGGCGCCCGACGCCAGGATGCAGCAGCGCCGCCAGGCTCGTGCGTGCTCGCACCTTCGCGAGGCACCGGTTAGCATGGACCTGGGTACCTTCCCTCAAGACGACTTTTTCATCCTGAGTCGTTCTCTGACAGTCCTGGGGCCCAGGGAGGGTCCCGAGAACTGCGGAAAACTCAGGACCCGTTTCCCTCGGGACCCGTTTCCCTCAGGACCCGTTTCCTCCATTCGGCGGCGCGCCCAGGGGGAAGTGAGAGGGGGCGAGCCTTCTCAGAAAGCTAGGAAGTGCCCGGGCCTTCTGAGAAGTTGGCTAAGCCTTCCCCGAAGACACCGAAAAATCCTCAGAAGACTGGAGGGCTTTTGAGAAGCCCCGCCGCCTTCTAAGAGGGCCTTCTCCTTCTCACGTCCCCCCTCGCCCACCGCCACCATCACCACCAACAATTCCATAACGGCCGTCGCCCTCGTCCTCACCAACCATCACCACCGCCACCATCACATCCTCAGCACAAAATATCTTCATCAATACCACCATCATGCTCATCATCGTCGTCATCAGCATGATCACTATCAACATTAGCAGCAGCAGCAGCATCATCGTCGTCCATCTCATCATCGATATGCCTATAGCCATCATAACAAGAATCATCCGCCTCAGCATTATCATAATCATCACCACCATGATCATCACCATCACCATTTTCACCAACATCGTACTCAGCATCGTCGGCAGCAGCATCAACACCATCGTCAGCATCATCGACATATGTATGACCATCATCAGAAGCACCGTTATGGTCGTCATCGTCTTGATCATCGACAGCGGCATGGTCAATACCATCATCATAACCATCATCAACATCAGTATCATCAGCAGCAGTAGCAGCAGCATCACCATCCTTGTCATCCTCCTCCTCATCATCATCATCATCAACAGCACCAGCATCAGCATCCTTATCATCAGAAGCATATTAATCGTCATATTCATTTTCATCCGCATAATCATCATCCTCATCAGCATCGTCATCATCCTCATCACCACCATCACCATCATCATCACCACCACCATCATCATCATCCTCATCATCATCATCATCATCATCATCATCATCAGCATCATCATCATCGTCATCATCATCACAATCCCCATCCTCCACGTGCACCTTCTACTCCTGCTCCTCATCTCCCTTCGGCTCCACCTCCTCCTCCGCCTCCTCCTCCTCATCATCACTATCATCCTCATCGCCATCCACCTCCTCCATCCCTCCTCCCTCCTCCCTGCTCCCTCCTCCACCTTCCTGCTCCAACTTCCCCCTCCGCCATCCCCCCCTACTCCTCCTCCTCCTCCTCCTCCTCCTCCTCCTCATCCTCCTCCTTGAATACACATGTAAGCAAAGGTGCATGACTCATGCATGCGCGGTAAGAATGACGTGGAACGGCCCCCCAAAGAAGGTCATATGGGATGCAAAATTCGTCTTACGCAAGATGCAGTCCACGTGGCAATTCATCCTTCTCCGATCTCTCCCTCTCCTCCTCCTCCCCCTCCTCCATCCCTGTCCTTGATAGCAAACTCCTCCCTGTCGCACCCCTAGACGTGCTGGTATGGCGGGCCAGGCGCTTCACCGGAGACATCCTCACGATGTATGCTCCTGAAGCTTGACATGCTGCTTCGAAGATGATGAAGGGCGGCTCCCTTTCCACGTGTTGCTCTCGCCTTAGCGCCGCGAACATTCGTAGCAAAAGCTGATGACAGCATCAAGATTTAGGGGCACGTCCTTTTCAAAATGCGACTCTCGCCTGAGTGCCGCGTACATTCGTCATAAAAGTGCGCAACTGCTTCAGGGATTTAGGGCGGTTTCTTTCTGAAATGAGGTTATCGCCTTAACGCCGCGCGCAGTCGTCGCAAAAGTGTGCAAAAGCTTCAAGGATTGAGGGCGGATCTTTTTCAAAATGGGGTTCTCGCATTAGCGCAGAGCACATTCGTCGTAAGAGTTCGCAACAGCTTCAAGGATGAAGGGTGGTTCCTATTCAAAATGTGGCTCTCGCCTCAGCGCCGCGCAAATCTGTCATAGAAGTTTGTAGCAATTTCACAGGTTTCAGGAGTTGTGCTCTGGCACGCTTTAGGATTGACACGACGTAACAGTAGAGCTGATTCGCACTGTTGACGTCCCAGGAACTGCGCCCTGGCGCGAATTAGAACTCAGGACGCAACACTCACAGTGACTCGCGGAGTTCACGTCCAAGGAAAATATCTTGGCACGATGGAAACTCTCAGATTGCTGTCTTCCAGCAGGGTAGTTCCCATCATAGAAAAAGTTGCAGGAACGTGGAGAGAAGGTGTATTGCAACATCGTCGGTGCGTCTTGGATTTACACTCCTTGTCCTCCTCCTCCTTCTCCTCCTCCTCCTGCTCCTCCTCCTCCTCATTCCCCAACGTTTAATCCTAATCCAATTCGTAATCCTACTCCTACTCCTGCTCCTGCTCCGGCTACTCCTACTCATACTCCACCTCCTCCGCTGTGCCTGAGAAAGAACCCGTTCCTGTCGCACCCCGCGATGTGTCCGTAGAAAAGGCCGGGCGTGTCGCCTGCTGCATCGTCATCACTGATAACCCTGAAGCTTGAAATGTACAGTCGTTTCAAAGATGTAGGGCGATTCTTTTTCAAAATGCGGCTATCGCCCGAGCGCCG